TAAGATTTGGTTTGAATTAATTAAATGATTATTTTATACTTTTGAATAGAGTTCCATCATATTTCAACCCTTAAAAAGCAACCCTTGTTAGAGATTAATGTAAAAAATTACTAATTCTAAAAAAATGATTTCGCCTTGGATCGATTTGGATAAAAATTTGGATTTAAGCTCAATTCACCCGCTGCTTTATAGTTTATGTCATGTCGACGAACCCTGATTGTTCTTAGGGGTGAAAACTACCCCTAATTGTCAAAAATTATAAAATAACATATTAAACCTGAATATGGGTAAAATTTGGTTTGAATTAATTAAATAATGATAGTTTCGTGCTTTTCAATAAAGTTTCATCATATTTCAACCCTTAAAAAGCGACCATCATTAGAGATTAATATAAAAAAATTAGTAATGCGAAGAAAATGATTTCACCTTGGAACGACTTGCATAAAAATTTGGAATTAAGCTCAACTCACCCTCTACTTTATATTTTATGTCATGCCGATGAACCCTGATTGTTCTTAGGGGTGAAAACTACCCCTAATTTTCAAAAATTGTAAAATAATATTACAAATCCTAAAATGAGTGAAATTTGGTTTGGATTAGTTAAATAGTGAGTTTTTTATACTTTAAAATACAAATTCATACATGTTCAACCCTTAAAAATCAATTGTTATGGGTGCTATAGGTGAAAACAATTTTTTGCCAAAATTTTGCAACTTTTCAACTTTTGAAAGTCACCCTTTACAACATTGCAGTTTTTATAAACTAATTTATAAGATATAAATTGAAAAAAGTAGAATTAAATACAAAAAAAATTATCAACATAAAAAGGCACCATATATTCTTATACATTTACATAAATAGTTGAAAATATTTACATTTATAGGTAAAACAATTATAATATTAATTTTATTCGTCATCAATTACATCTTCATGTGATCTATGTCATCATCATCTTCCTCAATTATTGGTGGACTGTTATTGCACCCTTCACCTGAGCACCCAGAACAAGTAGAGTTACAGTATAAACCAACTTTTCTGCACCCATATGAAACGCCGCATCCTTTTTTGCATTGACAAAAAATAATTTTCAAAAATTTATCGGGTGCAGGTTGTTTGTTCATGCGTACGGGTAATAACAAACCATCTTTGGAAAACCATCCCCAATCTGTTGCTCTGATATTTTCATTGCCAAGCCATAGACATATGAGCAGATGTTTTATTCTGTTGTATGGGATTTCAAAATAAGAACGCTTAAAATTTCGAATGTATAACGCCCCACTAGCTAATATACCGGTTTTGTAGATTATTATGCTCCGAAATGTACTGTACTATACTAATGGAATTTTCCGGAAAAAAATTAACTGGTTTTTTTAACGTATTTCCTTTAATTTTTAACGATAGATGTTTCTTCAAAAACGATTTGTAGAGGTTTTTAATAGCTACAAGGATCTGTGAATTAAATCTTTTTGGAACCCTTGGTTTTTAAATAAGGTGAGTTTAAAGGGCTCGAAAAAGATGGTGCTTGGTCGTAAATCGATGCTTTAAACGGCTATATCTCGCCAAATATTCATTGTACAACAAATCTAAATAAAGGATAATTTTAGTCATTAAAAAAGCTACAATTTGGTAATTTTTATTTTTTTCATATATTCAGTATTTTCGGGCATATTTAAAAAAAGAAGGGTAAAAAATATGAAATTGTAAATCGTTTCTCGCTTTAAGCTGTACTTTTTCTAAAACTAAGCATTTTAAATGGGTCAAACTTCTTGGACGTATTAACAATACATCTACAAAGGGAATTGCAGAAGGGTGAAGATCGATTTTAATTATGGGGGTGGTTAGGTTGTTGTTTTCCTCGATTTTTTCGTAAAAAATGAGGTATTGACCTTATTTTTTTATGATAGGTCTATTTATGCTCTTTAAAAAACGTTTTGTGAGTTTTCTTCCAAAAATGCATCATTTTCCCGATATTTGACTTTGAATCTTTCAAATTTGGCATTTGAAGAAAACCGCTGAACATTGATATTGTATTTGTAATTGTATTTGTCTTTTTAAAAGCTACAAATTTGTTCTCTACAATTTTTTTGATAAAATGCACCATTTTCGAGTTATTCGCGAAAAATCGATTAAAAACGTGGATTTTTTCGTCTAAAAGTTGTTACTTTCAATCGCGAATAACTTGAAAAATATCATTTTATAAAAAAATGTATAGCACATTTTTTGTTTAGAATCACTTTTCTAATCGAAACCTGTAGTTAAAACGTAAAAAAAATTTCACCCCGAAGATGGGGTGGCAACCACCCTCTAGGCTTTGGCGCAGTTTGGTTCGATATAGACTTTGATCCTTAGGCTATTACCTACCTTCTGTTAAATTTCAAGTCAATCCACGCCGCACGAAAAAATTGCGAGGTGAAATGCTACATTTCCTGGACTATAACTGGTTTGGCTATAATATGAACTGGAATGACTATAATAAAATCGTAGATTTATGTCGTACATCTAGTTCAATACTGCCACAACTCCAAAAATTCCAATTTTGAGTTAAGGCTTTAAAAAGGTTGCATATATGATACCCCATCTAATGCAATACAACCTTAACTGAAATATTGTCTTGGATAAGTATAAAGTAAGATATTTCGGAATTACACTGTAGGGTTTTGAAATGCAATATGGCCATAACTAGGAGATGTGGCGATAATACACTCCGCCACAATACAACCGATGTAATTCAATACGGCCACAACTGCAAAAATTGTTAGATTAGTGGTACGATTTTATCAGTTCTCAATTATTTATGCACGAGGTATCCACGTTTTTAGTGTACAACTATTTGATTTAAAGTCTGAAAACAGTGTATAGTGATATTATTATTAACTTTATTAATAAACACGATGTCAAGGACAAGAAAAATGATTGGACTAGCTTTGCAAAGCTATCTTAAAGATAATGAGAATCTGAGAGACAATTCAGAGGTTTCTGAGGTTATGAATGACATCTCCTTTGTGTTGACGTTTGTATTTCAACAAAAATCACAGTGAGGTTTTACTTAATGTATGTAATTTTTTAGCTTACTCCGGTTGCGTTACCCGTGCAATCAAATCATACCGCAAATACATTTGAAGATCAAGAAAATCTACATACAGACCCTCGCCAAGATGATTACATAGAGCAGGTATATTTTTATGAAACGAAAAACCGTTACTGAACCGGTGAAAAATAAAATAAGAGAACACATAAATTCTTTCCAAAGGGTAGAATCACATTATCTTAGAGCACAAACTACAAAGGAATACATAGATGGTTCACTTACTTTAGCTCAAATGTATCGCTACTACAAACTATAGGAGGAGAGTGAAGGAAGGCCTGTGGCTAAAAAATGCACTTACGAGCATATTTTCAAAACTGAGTTTAACATAACTTTCTTTGAGCCAAAAAAAGATCAGTGCGCAATTTGTGAATCATATAAAAATTCTTCTGATGAACAGCAAGCTACTCTTCATCAAACTTATAATAAACATATCCATAATAAAATTAGAAGCAGAGAAGAAAAAGCACAAGATCTAGCAAGAGCAAAAAATGATTCTCAAGTATTGGTAGCTTGTTTTGATTTGCAGGCGATCCTTAATACACCTTGTGGAGATGTTTCAAGCTTCTACTATAAATGCCGCCTGAACTGCTTTAACTTTACAATTTTTCAGATATTGCAAAAGACTGGTTACTGTTACTCTAGGCACGAGGCTATTGCTAACCGTGGCTCAAACGAAATAGCTACGTGTCTGTTTGATTATCTTTCAAATCATTGTAATGATAAAGACGTTATATTTTATAGCAACAATTGTGTTGGGCAAAATAAAAATAAATTTATAGTTACCATGTATCTCTATGCAATTGGAAAAATTAATGTTAAATCAATCACACATAAATTTTTAACAGTGGGACATACAAAAATGAAGGGGACGCCATGCACGCAGCTATTGAGAGGCAAAAGAAGAAAATACTTAAAACAGGTCCCATTTATGTTCCTGCACAATGGCCTGTCATCATAAGATCTGCAAAAAAAGAGGGAAATCCTTACAATGTAAAAGAAATGTCAACAGAAGACTTTTATGACTTTAAAGATCTCAATTCAAAAATTGGAGAAAATTTTACAAAGAATACAAAAGATGAAAAGGTAGTCTGGAAAAAAATGGTTGTCAAAAGCAATCCTGGATCTTTCTTCTATAAAACAGATTATAATGCCGATGAGTTCGAAGAGATCCATTTTAAAGCATCGACAATAGGGCGTTCAGCAACTGTGAAAGCAGTAATCGATTTAAAAAAGGCGTACATAAAGCATCCATCGATATCCGCAAAAACCAAGCAACACCTTTTGGAACTGTGCAATAAAAACTTAATACTACCTGTTCATTACAATTTTTATAAGGACTTGGTTAATAGTAATTTAAAAAAAAAATGTTCATACACACTTGTAATAATAATAATAAAAATATTTTTTGTAAGACTAGTTGATTTTTTTTTTATTATATTGCCGCCGTATCTCCTATTTATCGTTTTATAAATGACTTTCTTCACAATGCAATATCGCCATAACTATTAAAATACAATTAACGTTTTATTTTTAATAAATTGTAATAAGATCCAGCGAATAACTCTATAATTTGCTAACTAAATTGTAATTTTGAAGCCAGTTATTCTAAAAATAAATTATTTACAAGGCACAACTCTTGCTACAGAATGTTTTGCTCATTTCTCGAAATTATTGTATTTTGGACTTGTGGCACTATTGAACTAGGTGTGCGATGTGTAGCTTTCAATTTTTATGAGTTCAGAATCCAGCAGCCCGCTGAAGTATGGGATTTTTTATAATATAATTATTTGACAATCTTTTGTTGGCCAACCAGCTACAGCAGAATTGAGCCGAAATACATTATATTCCTATGTTCCGAATTTATTTCGTTCAATCTGTATATCTGCAAATATTATAATTTTCGCCTTTACAGGTCCGAAAAGCTGTCCGTTCTCAAGAAGTTTACAATAACTTTTTACGTTGCCTCACACTCTTTAATCAAGAAATTGTTTCGAAGTCCGAACTTATTCAAATAGTTACACCCTTTCTTGGCAAATTTCCCGAACTTCTTCGTTGGTTCCGTGAATTTATGGGCCAAAATGAAGCAGAACCAGTACTATTTAATGTAGCTAGAAATGAGCGTCCTCAAGGCGATCATGCCTTGGAAATTGATTTGGCAACTGCAAAGAGGCTTGGAGCTAGTTATTGCATCATTCCAAAAGCACAAGAAGGATTGAAATGTTCCGGTAGGACGCAACTCTGCAGGGAAGTACTAAATGATCAGTGGGTATCATTTCCCACATGGTCTGAAGATAGTACTTTTGTTAGGTATGTTTTAAATTTATACTATATCTCAAATTACTTTTCTTTATGTTTAACAAGTTTTGCGTTTTAATTTTACTACATATTTTTATAATGACGAACATAAAATTGTAAGGTCACGATTTTATAATATATTGTTTTGATTTCAGTTCACGCAAAACTCAGTATGAGGAATATATGTATCGTTGTGAAGATGAACGGTTTGAATTGGATGTTGTTATTGAAGTAAATGCTTCCACCATCAGGGTTTTGGAAGGCATCAACAAAAAGATGGGCAGGATGAACACTGACGATCTTAACAAGTTCAAATTAGATGATTGTTTGGGTGGTAACTCTCCCACACTGCATCAAAGAGCAATCAGAAGGTAGACATTTATTGATTTAATTATTTTATTTAATAAGTGTTAGTCTTGTATCAACGATCATAAATACATCGAGTTGCAAAAATTCGATCCATGCCATATTTCCCATCTATTTCGAGTTTTAAAACATAGGACTTATTATACAGGATGTTTCAAAAAGGTATGTCATAAATTAAATCACGCATTCTAGGGACAAAAATAAATTGATTGAATCCAACTTACCTTAGTATAAAAGTGTACACAAAAAAAGTTACAGCCCTTTGAAGTTACAAGTAAATTTTTTTTTTGCATTATCTTCTAAACTACTTGACATTTTGTAATAAAAATGGACACGTTACTTTCTTGTTCTGAAAGCATTTTTCATACAAAAGAAACAACAAAATCTAAGCGTACAGAAAAATTTTAAGGGGTGTGTGCAGCCCTAAATCCCCCCAAACTTTTGAGTACGTTAAAATCAAATGAATTTTGTGGCATCATTAGTTTAACACATTATTTTTAAAACGTTTTTGTCTATTAGCATTTTTTCTAAAAACTAGTTTTTTCCTAGTTGAGGAGCGATCAATCAAAACGCAATAAATCCAGTTTTTCAGAATTTGAGTAAAATTAATATTTAATAGCTTTGCCGTGAAATATATCCAGTGGTCACAGCCAATTCGTTCCAAACGCAATATTTCCAATAGAAAATAGCTATCGAAAGTGGGCAAAACGCAATAAATCCATTTGTGTTCCTAGCGTCAATCAAAGTGCCATAAATCCACCATAGGTACCTGTTTTTGAAGAATGTAATATATATTATTCTGGCATTTGTCTACTAGATGGGGCAATTAGTCCCTAATATCATTGTTTAAAAAACGAATACTTTATTAAGTAATAACTTTTGGCGAAATTATCTCTATAATCTAACATAAAAATAATTTAATATAACATGTTGTTTTGATTTGTGGTGAATATTATTTTTGTAGTTTCATTTTGTCTGTAAAATGGGCGATTCTGAGGAGTTAAATCTGACTGTTAAAGAAAAAGGTGTTAGGAGAAGGAGTGACAATGTTTCTAAACATGAGAGTAGAAAAAGCATAAGGTAAAATGTTTTTTTATTACGCGAGATGTCCAATTTAGAGTAATTTCTTTTCGTTTTTAGATATGGTGATTCAGATGTAGCTTTGACAAATTTCAAAAGACCATGTTATCATGACGGCCGTAGTTACCAGTGTAATATACCAGTGTAATAATATTACACTGGGTGATATTAAAAGAAATAAGGAAAATATTTACAGCTCAACTAATGGAAATGAGCAAGATATAAAATTGTGTCATATGATGAGTGCCTCTGAAGTAAACAGACGAAGAAAATCCATTCCTTTAAAATCTCGTAAGTTAGCAGTAACATACTACTTAAAAACAAGGAATTCTAAACATCCATTAAGAGTTTGTCAAAAAATTTTTACCTCAGCTATGGGTCTGTCAGCACGGCGCGTAACCAGAGTTGCAAATACCATTCATGCAGGGGAAGTACCAAAAGACAAGAGAGGAGGAGATCAAAGGTCCAAAAAAAACAATAAATTATAAGAATTGCGTTAGAGAGTTTATCGGCAATTTGAGAGGACGAGAAAGCCATTACAATAGATCAAAGTCTCAAAAATTTTATTTAGACAGCGATTTAAGTATTGCAAAGTGACATAAGCTATATAACACAAAGTTCGAGACATTACAAGTTTCATTGTCAATGTTTTCAAGAATCTTCAGAAAGGATTTTAATTTAGGCTTTTCCTCACCTGCTTCAGATGTATGTGCCACATGTATGAAAATCGCGAAAGAAATTAAAATAGAAAAAAATGCAGAAAAAAGGAGAGAATTAATGGTACAAAAGCGCATTCACAACAAAAGAGCTAAAGCATTTTACGAGTTATGTAAATATCGCCCAGAATTTTCACTAAGTTTTTGTTTTGACTTGCAGCAGGTCCAGCCGTTGTCTAAGACACCCATATCTGACGCATTTTATGCACACCAAGTAAGTTTTTATGTTTTCTGCTGTGTTGATATGGGATCAAAACGTCCCCATTTTTATACGTGGAGCGAGGATCAAGCTGGACGGGGTTCTGTGCAAGTAGGATCTGCTCTTCTGCATCATTTGGACTCACTCAATCTAGATGGAATAAAGATCCTGCGACTTTTTTGTGACGGATGCGGAGGACAGAATAAGAATTCACACATAATCCATGCATTATATTATTGGCTTAAAGTCAAGGGACCTCCAGAATTAGAATAACTTTTCCCGTACGTGGCCACAGTTTTTTACCCGCAGATAGGGTATTTGGCAGGATTGAGAAATTCCTAAGAAAACAATCTATTGTAAAAACAAAAGAGGAATACATAAGCATTTATCAACAGTTCGGTTTAGTGAAGAATCTTGGAACAGACTGGTTTCTTTATGACATTAAGTCTCTTCAAAACAACTTACAAAAAATTGTTGGAATACTCGAATTAAAAAGAATTCATTTAAAAAAACTACAAGACAATACTATAAACGTTTGGTGTTTCCAAAACTTTCGATATCAAAATTTTCTAGAAGTTGGAAAAACATTGATAAAGGCGCGAAAATCTGATCAGGGTATGGAACTGGACAGTATTCCGTTGAATAACGCCCTTATGGAAAAGAAGAAGATTGGTATAAGAAACTATTAGCAACAGAAGGCTGCAATAACGAAGAACAACATCAAAACCCATGTGACTGCCTGGAAGACGACCATGGTACATATCTAATGTGAAATATTTTTTATTTTTCTAACTTTTTTAAAATATCATTATAATATAATGATATTTTAGCAATATGAGACAATATTATTGTCTCATATTGCTAAGTTTATTATTATTTAATGCTATTTGTAATATATTTTATTACATATATTTTATTTGTATTATATTTTAATGCTATTTGTAACTTTTTTAAAATATCATTATAATATAATGATATTTTAGCAATATGAGACAATATTATTTATTGTCTCATATTGCTAAGTTTATTATTATTTAATGCTCTCTGGGACCTGCAGCACACATATTTTTTTGAAATCATTCGTATCAGTATAAATCCACTAATTTTTTTCACATATCATGAAACATATTGTGCGTTCAATATTACTATTTATATATAATAATATGCTACCCATCTTCTTTAAAATGTCATCTGATTTAATTTTTTTAACTCAACGGCTAGTAAGAGGTAACATTTCTGCATTTAACTCTGAATCAGTTTTAGCGGATTTATTGCGTTTTGATTGATCGCTCCTCAGTTGGCCATTGTGAGATATTACCTTTACCTGAAACAATTTGGTGGATGAAAGGCTTAGTGGTATTGGGCCACGAAAAAGAAGAAATAATAGACTATGAAGTGTGCTATGACTATGAATGTCATGTTATTGTTGATATTGCAAGTATGTCAATAAATATAATTTTTAAATAACTGTAACTAATTCTGTATGTATACAAATAAAACCGAATCCAACATACGCAAACCTCTTAAAACAGGTAGTTTTTTGGTGGTGCGACAGCCATAAAATTATAATTTATTTCTACGGATACAATAAGTATCCAGATAACAGTTCCATCAATAATAGTCAATAATTTGAAGCTATCATTTATTGTGCGAATAAGATTAATATTAAAAATTTTGATATTACAATGGCCTACACATTTCAGGAAATGGCAGATATGCATTTAACTTTGGATAAGTTGGATCAGATTAATTATGATTTTAATAAACTATCGGGAATATCGTAGGTGAATGTCAAGCAAATAGTGCAGCAGCCGCAAGGCGTTATGCAGTAAAATACCCCAATCGAAATACTCCCGATAGACGATTATTTCGGACCATTGATTGTCGTTTACGGGAAACGGGTACATTCCAATCGCAAGTTGCTGACAATAGTGGTCGTCCAATAATGGATGCAACTGATGAAGACATTTTAGAAATCATTGAAGAAGTCCCTGGAACAAGTACAAGGTTAATAGCTGCTTTACTAAATGTTCCTCTCGTAAAGGTTAGGAGGCATTTGAAGGATCAGCTGCTTAAACCCTATCACTTAACAATGGTTCAAGAGTTATTGGTTGAATATTGTCCTAAAAGGATTGGATTTTGCGATTGATTATTAATGGAAAACACTCAAAATGTTAATTTTATTAGAAATATTTTGTTTACCGACGAGGCTACCTCCAGTAGAAATGGAATAACAAACACATCAGAACGAGCACATTTGGGCCGACGAAAATCCTCACGCCAAAAAAACGAATCATCACCAAAGGACTTTCAAAGTTAATGTTTGGGCACGAATTGTGGATAACAATCTAATAAACCCAGTATTTCTTCCCAACAATTTAAATGGTGAAATTATTTGCATTTCTTGGCAAACGATTTACAAGAGTATTTGGAAGAAGTGAATATTGCAATAAGGCAAAATATGTGGTCTCTACAAGGTGGCGCTCCACCGCATTACAGTAATGAAGTCCAGGAATACCTTTGAAGCAGTATCTTGGTCGGTGGATTGGAAGGGGTCGTGACGCACCTATTTCTTGGCCACCGAGAAGTCCAGGTCTTAATCCCATGGACTTTTGCTTTTTGGGGTTTATGAACGAGAAAGTGTATTATGTAACAATAAAGGACGAACAACAATTGAGGGTTAGAATAATTGAAGTTGCAAATTCATTTCGTCAGAAAAATATGATTTTTCAGCGCATTCGGTTTTCTTTATTAAAACGATACCGAATGTGTATTAAAGAAAATGGGGTCATTTTGAACATTTATTGTAATATCGTATTTATAGAGGTTATAGACATTTTTTCTACTTGTTAATTCATTTAAGCCATTTATTTAGTTTCACGTAATTTTTTAAAGGTTAATGAAAAGGGCCGTAACTCAATAAAAATTGTTTCAATGAAAAAAGTAATAGAGGCAAAAAATTTTTAAAAATAATGTGTTAAACTAATGATGCCACAAAATTTATTTGATT